AGGTTAAAATTTAACCTGACACTGCCCCAAGTGCAAAGCAGCAAAAAGGAGAGGTTAACCTCTAGGTATAGATAGCAAGCATATGAGGTCAGGGATCAGAAAATTTGTGTTGCACAAAGCACAGTACTACAGAACTCAAAAAAACAGTCCATAGTACTAGCAGGACAGATATTTTTTTTTTCCCTGGAAGATTAAAAAAAAAAAAAATAGGCTGATGCAGTGGGATGGCTTGTCCACATGAAGTCTCAGAGCACAGGGAGGGATACTTATGGTAAACTAGAAATAAAGCCAACTCTGCCCCTGCCCAAAACAGTTAGCCAACCTCTCAGTCTCTCCTACTTGGTTGCAAATCATAGCAAGACCACAAGAGGGAAGCACAACCCAGGAGTTCACCTTTAGTGCCAAAATTTGTGATAACAGCACGCAGCAGCTCAAGGAGGACGCAGCACGTACCATGTCAGCAGGTACTGGGCTTAATCTAGTCTTAAATTAACAATAAAATGGTATCACTAACTAATACTGTTTGTTTCTACCCTTGTTTTGTAATGGCCTACCTATTGTCAGATGACAGATGGGGAGAAAAGCACAATTACCCTCTCTTACAGACAGACAAATTATTGTTCTTCCCATTTTCCTGGATATGAAAAGTAAGACAGAGTGTGGCAGGCTTCTTTACACCAAGATGAAACAGGTGATGGAACTTATTTCCCTCTCCCTTAGGCTTTTAGAGGTCTTAAGCAAAAATTTGGATCACATAAGGTGTTAATAAAAGTTGAGGCACTGCCTGACCTCTGGAAATCCCCAGAACAAACTTTGCCACACCCTTCACTCCTCTCACCTGGCAGCTCTCAGGCTAATGTTCATACAGGACAAAGTAGCTTCAACTTCAGCAGCCCTAGGTGTGAAAATCTTGTTCCAAAGTCCATCAGGAAAAGTCACTGGATCTTTCAATGGCTCAAAATGCTGAAACTGAGACAGGAATAAAACATCTTTAGAAAGTAATCGCAGCTTCTCCACTTGTATATTGACTTTCTTTCCTGGGTTCTATTTTCAGGATTAACTCTTTCACAAATGAGAAAGAGAGGGATGGAGGGAGGAAGGGAGGAAGGGAGCATCTTGCACAGAGATCTTCCTTCTGCAGCAAGCACCAGTACTTCCATAGCTTTAACTCTGCAGAGCAGCCTGCAGAGAATGGAACTGGCTGGTCTGAGAAAGGTGAGGAGGACTGCCAGGATGACAAGCCCTGGTTTGGAAGGTCAGCAGGAATATGGTTTGTTTTCCACAGGCCAAGGAACCTCCTTCAGCAGCTTCTATACCAGACCCAGAATTACAGCTTTTTTTTTTTACACAAAGGAATTCATTCCACAGGGAAAGGCTGGACATGAAAAGCCTCCCCCATCTCCCTTCCTTGTCAGAGAACACAGTCCATTTGTGAAATATTGCCATGTTGCATTTCTAGTCAAGATTCATCCAGCCTTTACAGCCTTTGGATCATGCACTACCTCCTTTCTATTGTCACACATATTTCCCCCTGTAAGGGTTTGCAGATGATGATGAGATCAGTTCTTAACCTGCTCCCAAACTGTCCTTTCACAAGCCCTTTATCAGCCTCTGGGAACTTTTCTGAATTTCTGAACTACTGAAAAGTGACTTCTGCACTTTCACAGCGGTTTCACACATGGATTTGGAAAGAACAATTTCCTCTTGTTAGCATTGAAGTCAACAGCAAAATTAAACCATGTATTCTCTAGCTCTGCTGTTTGATGGTCAGTAGAATCATAAAATCATGGAATGGTTTGGGTTGGAAAGAACCTTAAAGATCATCTAGTTCCAACCCCCCTGCCATGAACAGAGACACCTTTCCACTGGACCTGCTTGCTCAGAGCCCCATTCTGCCTTGCCTTGAACACTTCCAGGGATGGGGCATCTGCAACTTCTCTGGGCTCACCACTCTCACACTGTGGAATTTCTTTCTCATATCTAACCTAAATCTACTCTCCTTCAGTTAAACTCATGCCTTCTTGTCCTGTCCCTACATGTCCTTGTAAAAAGTCTCTCCATCTTTCCTGTAGGCTCCCTTCAGGTACTGGAAGGCTGAAATTAGGTCACCCCAAGGCCTTTTTTTTCCCTAGGCTGAACAAAACCAAATCTCTCAGCTTTTCCTCATAGGAGAGGTATTCCATCCCTCTGATCAACTTGGTGTCCTCCTCTGGACTTGCTCCATGTCCTTCCTCTGTCGAGGACCCCAGAGGTGGATGCAGCACTGCAGGTGGGGCCTCACCAGAGCAGAGTGAAGGGGCAGAATGACCTCCTTGACCTGCTGCCCACCCTGCTTTTGATGGAGTCCAGAACAGGTCTGACTTTCTGGCCTGTGAGTGCACATTGCCAGCTCATGTCCAGCCTCCCATCCATCAGCACCCCCAAGTCCTGCTTGGCAGGACTGGAACCCAGTAAAAGCAGGCATCCTTCCATCAGCTCCCAGCTCAGACCCACAGCTTCAGCTGAATATTTAAGGAGCTTGGCTTTTAGAAATATACAGTAGCTTTTACAGTATTTTTAAGACCTAGTGAAAAGAGAGATGTCTAAAATTTATATTGCTGACTGCTTTTAGACTTTTCTTTTCCTACTTTACCTGTGGAAGCTGGTGTTAAAAAAAAGAGCCTGAGCGAACCAGCACACAGCACATTGTTTCCTCCTTGTCCATCCCTTCAGCAGCTGCTTCCTCCCTTCAATGTGAACTGAAGTTCAGCCCTTTATCTTCCTCAGCTTGGCCCACCAACCTTCCTTCAAAGGGCATCCTGACCAACAAGACAGTCCCAGCATGGAAGGGTTTTTTCAGCATAAAGGGACAGGCTCAGCTCAGTCCATGTAACTGGGATGGAAAGGTGCCAAACAGCTAAAACTAAATTTTATCTGCTGTGCAGTTAATGTGCAGCACTTCTCATCTGCTATCACTCTACAGAACAGCCCATGCTACCTCTGACTACAGAAGTAGAAGGCCAGTCAGGAATGAGTGGGCAGTATTTTTCAAAAAAAATGAGACCAACATAATGATCAGTCTTAAAGCAACCATGGGAAGGTACTTTCTCCCCAGCACACTAAAAAAAATCATTGGGCTATTTGCCACAGGATATTTATTATAAGGGCCAAAGGTATAAATGAGTTTAAAAGGCACAAGGTTAATTGGTGGAGGGAAGAATCACTAGTGGCTGTTCATTAGGGGAGGGGATGTGTCACATTCACATTTTCTGAAAAATCCCTTCACCCAGGATTTTTCTCCTGGCAAGCTGAGAAGCCTCAGAGAAAAAGGAAAACAAATTCTTATTTAATTTGCTTTTCCTGTGTTGTGCTCACATGTGGAATGTGTTTGGAGATTGTTTACCACAGGTGATTGTTTCATTGGATTTCTGGTGTGTTTTCACTCATTGGCCAGTCAGTGCCAAGCTGTGTCGGGACTCTGGAGAGAGTCACGAGTTTTCATGATGATCTTTTTAGCCTTCTGTAATTATCCTTTTTGTATTCTTTAGTATAGTTTAGTATAGCATTCTTTAATATAATATAGTATCATAAAACAATAAGTTAGCCCTCTGAGAACATGGAGTCGGATTCATCATTCCTCCCTGCCACGAGGGTCCCAGCAAATACAATAGGGATGCAGTGGTTGGCTCAGGTAAGCACTGAGACCATTGCTGTGGGAGGCTGGAAGTGGCTGCCTGGGCCATAGTCACCCTCAGTACACCTCAGTTCCCTGCACACTTTCTGCTGGGGCTGCAGGCACCACTCTTGGTGAGACAGGTTATTGGTCCTGTCACATCCTGCTGTTCTGTCCTCACCTCTCTGGCTGACATCCAGGCACACTTCCCTCCCTTGGCTCTCCATATACTGAACAACCAACTGGCTGCCACTAGCACATGAGATCCTGGCTGAGCCAAGAGGCTGTGGCCCTGCTCCCCACTGCACAGCAAGGCTCATTGCCAACAAGGGCAGGGAACAATGGGAGAGGCTCTGGAAGGCTGCCCTGTTCAGTGATGGCCCTTTGCTGCAGGCGAGTTGTGTGTCTCCTCCTCACCTCTGCTGGGGGGAGAAAAAAAAAAATCTTCCTCTTATGATCTGGCTCCAAACGAAGAAGATGACAAAATCATCTTTAGTCTTTCTTTCCTGCCTTCCTGCCTTCCATGCAAAGCAACCTTGTATGCTACTTGTGGAAGGAAATAACATTTCTTTCTGACTAACTGCTGCCTTGCACCTTTACCCTATACACTGCACAATGAGAGACTGTCTTCCAACAGTGAAAGTGCTTATACAGAACTATACAGGAACCTGTGTAATAGGGTCTCAATCTCTTTTAGAGAAATCTCTGCACTACCATAATAAATGCAATGATTTTGCCTCTTACAGATACTCTCTGCATGACCTTTCAAAATAAAGCATTGGAGTAATTGCAAAACAAGTTTCTTGTATCAACATACAAATGCCATCTGTCAAAAAATGTAGGCAAGAATTGTGTCATATTAAGTGCCAAGGTCTATGTCAAGATCTATTTCAACATATTTACATTCCTCTCATTCTGAATGCATCTGCATACCCTGAACACAGAGTCACTAGGAATGGAATCACTAGGAACAATTAATAAACACCTGTTGCCTCCCTTGGCAGTTTGCCCCTGTGTGCTCAAGTTTCCCAATACCAAAAGATTGGTTTCTTTATCTGTTTTATAGCTAATAATGTTTAAAGTGTAGGAGTAGGAATTGCTGTTGTATAATTTTCATGTTGTAACAGCCTCTCTGAAAGGGAAAGCTTTTCGCTTTTCCTAATGATGGTCAGATTCCTCATCTCTTTTCTGAAAATTTATCCCATGGCTGCTGTGCCTTCAATGGGAAATAAAAAGAAATCAGTAGGGGAAAAAAACCCCACGAACTTTTCTTTCTGAATGTGTTTAGTTGTACTTACTGCACTGAGAGAAATGTACCATGATGTTTTATTTTCTGGTTTTTTGGAAGGGGATGAAGGTGAAAAGGGAGACAGAGGAGAAGTAGGCAAACAAGGAAAAGTTGGACCAAAAGGACTAAAAGGTATTTATCGTGGTTTGTTGGCTATTGCTGGCATATGAATATCATTATACACAACTGTACTGATGCATATGATTGATGTTTAATGCTTTTCATTTCTGTTTCACCAGTGGATTTCACAATCCTGTCAAACATTAATTGGTAAACATAACAATACTTAGCTTGGTTCAATTCCTATCAATACTTAAGACAAATATATATGGCTGTCATGAGTGTGATTCAGAAAACCTGATTCAAAAAAATCATATTCATAATCAGAAAGATTACTCTTACTGAAATTAGCCTTTAGTTGAAATTGAATTTTGAGCATTATTGCCTAGCAATATGTCAGGGTGCTCAATAAAGTTTGGTTTCAGTTGTCTGTATTCTGCAGACAAAGCAAACAAAGCCATACACACACAAATAAAAAGTTCCTCTGATCAAACAGCATCCAAGATGAGAACAAGGACTTGCAGATGTTTCAGGACTTGGCTCAATTAAATATGTTCCATACCCACAGTGTGATCTGGGCACATCATTTAGAGGCACCAGATGTGACTGTGTCAGCCTTATTTGCATACTCTAATCTGAAAGCTTAATATATCTTTAGAGTTTAATGACAATGCATATCCAAGATCTTCCTTCTTTGACTGTGGCTTAAGACTAATCAGGAAAGTTTTTACTTTTATAGAAACTTTAAAATCACTCTGTTATTATTGCTATAATAAAAAACTTCTTCCATTTTTAAATGCATTCTTATGATTTCACTTCTTACCTTAAAATGAGCATCAGGTAATTCAGGGAATCAACCATTTACAAAGCATCTTATTGATGTTAAAGTCCTTTTGCAAACTGAGATTCCCTAGATTGGTCTGCCATCATTAGACATCTATTTCAGAACTTACACTATTTATTAATCAATTAAAAAGGACACCTGTTATTTTGGTGCTCTGAAGACTGGGAAAACACCTACAGCAAACTTAGTAGCTCCCTACTTGCAGGCCTGCTTTGAGAAGGACTCCCAGCAAAGCCACAAGGACTTAGGAAAGTGTTTTGCCTGTGGTGGAGAAAAATAAAAGGTGTCAGCCTGGTTAGGCTGTGAAGTAAATCACTAGCAGTTTCAGTTTCTATTTTTGCTAAGACAATATGATGTTTGAACAGGCAATTTTATTAAGGTTCTATGCCATGTCCTACTGTTGTACCCTACAGGAGCAGAGATCTGGCTGTACTCTTCCAAATATCCTCAGGGCTGTGCTCACTTCACTTTGCCACACAGGCAGACTGGCCACACTCAGGAAGAACAGCAGCAGTAGAGACCTAAACAGTGCCTCAGAAAAGAAATTACAGCAACCATCCATACTCATTTCCTCTTCATTTCTTCTCTTAGGAAACAAAGGACCAGTGGGTGATGTTGGTGACCAGGGAATGCTTGGTAAAATTGGTCCAATTGGTGGAAAGGGTAAGTTCTGGTCTGGGAATTTCCTTGGGGTTTTTACCCTCAAGGTAAATATGTGCTTTATGAGAGCTCCAGATATGGAGCAATATTAGATAATGGTACGACCAATTCTCTCCAAATAAAGTTATGCATAAAGATTGGTGATGAGAGTGAACTGAAATACCCTAGTTTTATTTTCTTCATGCATTATATCCAACTAATTTGGTTAAAATAATTTCTTCTATGAGTTAAGATATCAATCCTCTTTGATAGATCTAGTTGAAGGTGTTTCTGCTCATTGCATGGGGGTTGGACTAGATGACCTTTAAAGGTCACTTCCACCCCAAACTATTCTATGATTCTGTGGTAAAAGAGGATGGGAGAAATTCAGTACCTGTGAAGTAAATCCTCTGAACACTCCAAGAGACAAATGTGTGCCTTTGATTTGGATGCTGAAGGCCTAAGTCAATGTCCTACTGTTGCTGAGGATGCCACACCTTGTCACCTGCACTGCTGTGGGTCACGTGAGCAAGAAATGCACAGGACATCCCTGTCCCGGTAAGGAACCAATTCAGGAATTTTAAGAAGGGGCTCAAATAAGCAGGGATGGCAACTACTTCCAAATCAAGGTAGACTCCAAATCTGCCTGGACAATCATTTCATGAAATTGTGCTCTATTTATCTTGAGAAGAAGTTCAGACATTCCTTTCTGATATTCCTAAAGAGCTACTTCAGAAGGACTATTTCTTCTACCACAAGGAGACCTGCCTTGAAAGCTGATCAGGGACACCACCATTGCCAGGAGAACTCTGGGGTCTCAAATCAGCACATCAGCTTGGATATACTGTTGAGTGGCTGGAACAGTCTCTCTGGAGAGCTTCTCAAACCACTGTTTTTAATAAACCTTTCATGGCCTCCAGCCAGCCTCAGTATCAGGCAAGAAGAAAATATTTTGACCTGAGGGATTAATTTTCAGAAGTGCCTAGAAAACTGAAAACTCAGAGTTAGCTCCTAAAATGTCTTCAATCCCCAAAAGAGACAAAAAAAAAGAAAAATCTTACAAGTTGCTTTTCTTTATCTGAAAGTAAACCAATGTTCTGAGCCTTTAAATCAAGTTCTCTTTTAATCTCAATGCACAATTTATTGTCCCCTTACAGTTTTTTCTCATTTTCTTTATTTGTGGAAGCAAAGGTCACTGTTTAAATCTGTGACTAAACATTGGAGTTCTTAATGAAGCAAGCCTGAAATTTCAGCTTGCAAGTGTGCAGTGGGTATGCTGCTAATTAAAATGACAGCCAACATCTAAATTCTTTAAAAAAACACAACCATATAAAGTAAAAAGTACATAAAAACATGGTCATCAATAAGGCAGAGCAAGTACTAGTATGTTTTGACCTCTGAAGGTTTTATTCATAAAAGAGCTGACAGGAATTTCGGATAAAGTCCAGCTGTTCTGACCCAAATTACAACTGAGGTTTTTTAAAGAACAGGTCACCTCCAGTTATATAGTGGCAGAGCATTTGGAGAAGTATTTCTATCATTCTTATAATTTACAAAAGAGAGTTGGATGAGAGTTGGAGAGTTTGCAGTTGGATGCAAATAAATCCCATTTCCATAAACTGAACTGAAATGCTGCTCCTTAATGACCTCCCTCCATGCAGGTGCCAACTGCTGCCCGCACACGCAATCTCTTGCACACACGAACTCAGTGGCTTAGAGCACATCTGCTGCCTCCTCTCACCATGGAGCTGCTGAACCTGGGGAAGGGCTCTGTCCTGTGGCCCCTGAGAGAACCCAGATCTCACCTTTTTAAGATTTCTTAACTGCTTTCAGCCTCTCAGGATCATTTTGCAGTTTATATTTAAAGTAAGTGGTACCAGGAGCCGGCAGCACACAAGATGCCTGTGTTATCAGTGAGTTAGCTATTAAAGGGCTCTCATTTCCATGCACCAGAATTAATCATGGTTTGTTTAACTTGGCATGTCTTCCAGTACAGTCCATCAGAGCTTCCTATAAAAAGCACACTGTTAATATATTATTAATTGGGTTTTTGAATATGCTTCCCTGACATATGCACTGTCTGAGATCTGAGAATATATTTTCCTCTTTATTCAGGTGACAAAGGAGCCAAAGGCTTACCAGGGGTTTCAGGAAAAAAAGGAAAAGCAGGTATGCTATGCATCCTTCTGTGCAGAATGGTCAAATCTGCTGGATCTTTGATTTCACGGTTGGTTTGTAAGAAATTCCATGAAATTATGAGGGCAAGGAAAATACATTGAAATGCCCAAGGAGAATAAATGAAATGTAATTGAAGCCCAAGGAGAATAAATGAAATGTAAGGAAGAGACTGAAAATGTTTTGTTGAAGAAAATAAAGGATAGTGTAGGGACATGACTGATTCCTATGAATATACCAGCATGCACAAAATATGAAGTCACCCAAATTCATGGGTAATATTTGGTATAATAAAAACTAACACACAGGCCAGCAGTATGCATTTAAACTGGATACTAGAAGAAAGTTTCTTAGTATCAAAGGAATTAAGCCCTTTAACAGTTGCCTAATAGGAGCATGGGATGAAAAAGTAAGTGATATTAGATAGAAACATAATCTGTTATCAAATTAATGCAATGCAATTGCTTACAGGAGGAGAATTTGACTCTGATGCACTAGTAACCTAGTAACCTTGAATGGTTACCCACCTTAAATGTATACTAGTGTTTATTTTTAAGAGATTGCATATAAAATGACCATTTGGTGCTTAATGGGAAACCATCAGCAACTTATTTTCTTTCTGAGAAAAACAAAAAGAACAAACAAAACCTCTAGCAAGCCAAATTCCAGTTTAAAAAAAAAAAAGAAAAATATTAACTGAGACTTCAGGGCTTGAAAGCTATTGATTTTTGGGTCAGTATTAACTTGCTTAAGCCAGTTAGCAAGGGAGTGTACAGAGTGTACAGAGCCAAAACACTGATTAACAGAAGTGTAGCCTGTGGGGTAAGGCGAAGACTGGCCCTTCATAAGTGGAGCCCAGATCTTCAGAAGCTTTGGAAGTGGGCTACAGTGACTCTCCATGCACACACACACCCCCAAATGCTTCTAAGTAGGTAAGTCCTCTATCTTCTGTATTGCATCAGGCACGGTCTGTGACTGTGGGAGATACCGCAGATTTGTCGGACAGCTGAATATCAATGTTGCTCGTCTTAACACATCCATCAAGTTTCTGAAGAATGGTAAGGATCCTTAAATATTTGAGGGGATTTAATTGACTCCAATAACAGATGTCATTGCTATTCTTCAACCACTGTTGATCTGTGGAAGTGTGGGGTGACTCCTGAATTATTTGGGAGAGTGTTAATTTTCCGAGGCCTAACTCTGCTCAGGACCACTCCAGCACCACTCCAGCAATCCACTAGCAGAGACAATCAATTTCCAGCAATCCAGGCATGCTCCTTGGCACTGCTTAATTCACTAGGCTATAAACTCATTGGTTGAGAGTCTGCCTTTTAAAGCTGCTGAGCAACCAAAATTTTCTTCTGAGTCAATGCCACAGTGCTACAGCAGCTCTGAATATCAGGCCATATCTAAAATGTCTTATCTTAGCAGTCACATTCATTTACCTCTACATGGAAAGGGCCTGAAAAGCTATTTATACCACTGTGTTTCTACCCCTAGGCACTCTTTCATAATCTGTATTCAAGAACATGCAAAGCAATAGGGCGATCCAGAATTAGACATTGCGATTTGACAATTTAGCATGCCTTAAGCTGATTCCTAGACTAGGCATCCAGGAAAGAAAACTGAAGTGTCACAGGAGACATGACAATCAGGACTGAGTAGTTCTTGTCCTAATGTGTGCTAAGAGCTTGACAATCCCATTAGTCACATCAATCTCTGATCATGTCCTCATCGTTCATCATAAATACAGTGGTGGGAATACTTTTCCTCCTTCCCTTTTATTAATTCTAATGTAAAAATCATCTTATTGCCATATTGGAATAGAATAACCTTCAGCATCTGTTGACATGCCATTAAGCAATTTTTCTTCTTCAAAGTTATAGCAGGTATCAGAGAGACAGATGAGAAATTCTATTACATTGTGAAAGAAGAGAAGAATTACAGAGAAGCCTTGATCCACTGCAGGGACAGAGGAGGATCACTGGCCATGCCTAAAGATGAGGCAACCAATGCCTTGCTTGCTGACTACATCTCCAGCAGTGGCCTGTTCCGAGCCTTCATTGGGCTGAATGACATGGAAAGAGAAGGACAGTTTGTGTATGCAGACAACAGCCCACTGCAGAACTACAGTAACTGGAAGCAAGGGGAGCCTCATGACCCAGCTGGTCACGAGGACTGTGTGGAAATGTTCAGCACAGGAGAATGGAATGACTCTGAGTGCCAAGTCACCATCTACTTCGTCTGTGAATTCCTCAAGAAGAGGAAATAAGAGTGCCAGAGAATGTGCCTGGCACCTGCTGTACATACAATAACCCATCCTCATTCATTTACGGTAGGGAGAGCAAATCAGGGATAGGAAACCAGGGACAGGGCTCAATCCAGCCTTCACATCACTGGGCTAAGCAAGAGTAACTGCTGTTTAGTCATCAGTGACCTTAAAGTCAGCACAGGTCTGCAGGGGGCATCCAGCCAGCTGTGAATTTTCATTTCATTTCTACATGCATCTTAGGGCTGGAATGTCTGTGTGTAATTTAGGGGTAAATTTAGAGCATGAAGAAGTGAATATAATTTCACCAGTTCCAGAAATAGTAAGATCATTGGTATTTGAGTACTGATGTGGTTTGTGAAATCCACAGATGGAAAGAGCGTGACCTTCATTTATCTCTGACTTGCACAGGGAGTCCCAGTAATTTCCCTTATGACTTCAGAGCTCAAAGTAAAGGTTTTAAGTATCTCTTGAAAAAAATCCTTCTTTTGTTAGAATCATAATTTGAGGTGGAAGGTCATTTGGTTAAATCTTGTATGTAAAGTAGGACCAACTTCAAACTTAGAAGTTGTTATACTCTCCTTAATTTGGCCTGCAATTATAGTGCCTGATAAGCATTTATCTGGTCTTCTGTAAAGCATTTGACATGGTCCCCTACAATAACATTCTCTTTTAATTGGAGAAATGGATTCAATGGGTAGACTGTAAGGTGGATAAACAATTGGATGCAGATGGCTGCATCCAGAGGGTGTTGGTCAGTGGCTCAGAGTCCCAATGGACATCAGTGACAAGGAATGTCCCTCAGGGATCTGTAGTGGGACCAGCACTATTTAATATCTTCATTAATGACACAGACAAAGGCATGAAGTGCACCCTCAGCACATTTGCAGATGGCACCAAGCTGGGTGGTGCAGTTGACACACCTGAAGGATGGGATGCCATTCAGAGGGATCTGGATGCCATGAGGGAAGTGGTCCATGAGAACATTATGAGGTTTAACAAGACCAAGTGCAATGTGCTGCACTTGAGTTGGGGCAACCCCTGGAATCAGTCCAGGTGAGGGATGGACAGATCAAGGGCAGCCCTGCCCAGCAGGACTTGGGGGTGCTGGTGGATGGAGGCTAGACATGAGCTGGCAATGGGCACTCACAGGCCACAAAGCCAAACAGGTCCTGGGCTGCATCCAAAGCCCTGTGATTCTGCCCCTCTACTTTGCTCCAGTGAGGTCCCCCTGCACTGCTGCATCCACCTCTGGGGTCCCCAGCACAGAAAGGCTATGGACCTGTTGGAGCAAGGCTAGAGGAGGCCACCAAGATGATTAGCAGGATGGAGTACCTCTCCTGTGAGGAAATGCTGGGAGATTTGGTTTTGTTCAGTCTGGAAAAAAAAAGGCCTTGGGGTGAACTAATTACGGCATTCCAGTACCTGAAGGGAGCCTACAAGAAAGATGGAGAGTTTTTGAGTTTTTACAAGGACATGTAGGGACAGGACAAGGAGGGATGAGTTTAACTGAAGGAGAGTAGATTTAGGTTAGATATGAGAAAGAAATTCCATTGTGTGAAGGTGTTGTGCCCAGAGAAATTGGGAATCGCCCTGGAAGTGTTCAAAGCCAGGCTGGATGGAACACTGAGCAACCTGGTCTAGTGGAAAGAGGCCCTGCTCACAGTATGGGGCTTTGAACTAGATGATCTTTAAGGTTCCTTCCAACCCAAACCATTCTATGATTCTATGCAGAAGAGATCTCACTCATCTCTGTTTTCAACTCTATCATCCATCAGGCTGGCCTGAAATGTGAGGAATTAATTGTACATAGGCATGCAGGCCTACGCAGCTTGTAGGCAACCTAAAAACAGATGGAGTAGTTGTAGTGTCTGAAGTCCCCAAAATCTGTGATAAGCATACAGAAGTCTAGCACAAGAGAACAGTGTAAAGGAAACAACACCATTCCTGTAGGCTGTAAACAGGCACATGTCATATAAGCTATACCATGTGCATTGCTGGTTTAACAAGTGATTCTAGGAACATATTAACTCCCTAACTCAGAAGCCAGTGATGTTTGATGTTTAAGTTAAAATCACCCAAGCCTTTGTAACTCAGGAAGAAGCTATAGAACAGGTTTTATCCCTCAAGAACCCAGATTCAGGTGTGGTTGAACAACTTAGTCATGCAGCTCAGAGGGACTCACTAAAAATGATGAGCACTGAACATGTCACTTCCTGACTAATTAGATCTCCATGTCACAATGCCTACAAGAATCACATTTTCATATATTTGAGAATACTGACTGAGCTTTTTTTCTTCAAGCTCATCAAGTGCTTAGTCATGGTTTGCCTTTCCTCACAGCAGGAGATGCCAAGAGAAACCTGAGGGTAATTACAATGCAAGTCTGTAGGTTTTCCCTCCCACCTAACACTAAAAATTAAGGAAAGCTTTTGGGAAGCTAAGGAGAATGCTAGATGGTCAGCACCACACAGCAACATTCCCTGCAGGTCACTGAGCACCAGGTGCACACAGCCCTCCTGTGGGTATACAAAGAGCTGGCCATGCCATGCTAGTAATGCAGAGGGTCAGCTCTGAGTCTCCTTCTCTTGCTGGGTACAGCACTGCAAAGGCAACCAAACAATCATATGTCCTCAACCTCACCCTGAACAGGAAAATTCTCCAAACATTTGCCTGGTTGCTTGACTCCAAGTTCACCTCTGAGCATTGACCAACACAGGAGCTTCCCAGGTGACTCTGTGACTCAGAACCACTCTTGTCTGGTTTCTCTGACACTTGTTCCTCCAGAAAACCTCCTGTTGCTACCAGCAGTAAATTATCTGTGTTGCTACACACCCTCCAGGAAACTATTCAAACCTGTGAATAAAGAGGTGGGACCACATTTCTTTTCATTGCTCCCCTTCTATGCTATGAGACTATTTGGGCAAACAAGTTCACTTTGCATGATGTAACTCAGCCTGAATTGTTCCCTCTCTGGGAATTGATTTTCCTCAAAACTAGGCAGAAATACATTTTTAGGATCTATTGTAATAAGCTCATTAAGCTAAACACTTTGGTTTTAGAAGCATTAATGGGTAATGATTTATCATTTATAATTAATGATTAATTAATTATTTATAATTAATGATCAATTAAAGAAAAAGCTTGTTGAGGAAAGATACCTTTTAGAAGTTCAAGTCCAAGGCTGCTGGCCTCATTCACAGCAAGTCAGTTCCTACCAGTCATGCAGAAGTGGCATAGTAATACCCCTGTGGGTAGGCACAATCACTTCTCCACACTTCATCTTTACTTCTGACCCAAGAAACCACCAAAAGATGCTTACCAGACTGGAGGTCTGTATTCTGAAACCTTGTGGCCATACTGAGACCACTGGCTGACAAAATTTAGAGGTGTCCTTAATGCTACATCCATCACAGATAGACCATTTTCCTGTTCTTTAGGAGAAAACTCAGAGCTGGAAGAAAGTGGAGCAATGCTTTGCTGCAGGATCAAGCTCTGCATTAGACTAGACCAGCTGCTCTCCAAGTCATTCAAAATCAGTAAATACAAATCTAAATTGAATCTTTAGGGTGTTTTTGGTGACTATGAGTTATGAGTAATCCTGGACCATGCTCCATGTACAGGAAGGAATGACAATCCCAGCCTCTGGCTTCATGGCTGAGTGATGAAGTGAGTGAGAAACTTGTGCTGGATTACTACAATGGAAAGGCTGGGACTGCCCAGTTCTTCCATCCTCATCCTCTACCACCACACCATCATCATCCTTTCTTAAATAGAAAAAAAAATAAAAAAAACCCAACCCTTTTACCCACTTTGTATTATTGGAACATTGGGTAGAGCTACACCAGCTGAAACAAGCAGCCTTGGGATGGCAGTTCCTTTGCTAACTAGAGAAGAGGGACAGCAGAGGTGCACAGCAGATGTCCAATGTTCAAGCCAGTCAGGCATAAGTGTGAGCAGGTGCTTGTGCAGCCCATTCCTGCAGCACTAGTCCCAGTTAATAAATTCTGCCAAGAAGCTGAACTTCCAGGCCAGGCCAAACAAGAAAGCCCATACCACAGAGGAAACCTGGCAGGCAGGTGCCTGCCCCATGCCTTGTGGACACAGGCTTGAGCCTGAGCTAACTGAAATATTAGAGCCATGTTTTGCAGAAAAAATATGCTTGCTATAATTAAGAATTTGGGCTACATCAAAGGTTTCCACTGCTAGCCAATGGAAATTCACTGTGGTGGGTAAAGTATCTTTTATACATGAGGTGGATGGAGCCAGGAACATAGGAAATGGTGCCTGACTATTCACAATTTATGGTCTGTAAATGTGTGACACCTAAACCATTTTACCCAACACCAGTATTACTTTTTCACATGTTTTTCTTTCCATTATTCCCAGGCCAAATGTTCTTGTTTCAATTTATGCTTGCTGTTTATTGTCTTCCCACCACTTAACTTACCAGTGAGAAGAGCCTGGCTTTGTCTTCTTGAAGACACCCTCAGAGGTGCTGGCAGGCTGCTGTCAGGTACACCTGAAGCCACCTCCTCTCCAGGCTGCATTAACCCAGTTCCTCTATGTCCTCCACATGTGCCTCTGACTCCAGCCATTCTGGGGAGTCTCAGCTAAACCTGGCTCCAATTCCTCCCTGCCTTTCCTGGAGGGCCTCAAAAGGACACAGTGCCTAGATGTGGTCTGACAGGAGCTGAGCAGGAGCATAACCCCTTCCCACAAGCTCCTGGCTGTGCTCTCTCCAGGGCACCTTCTTTGCTGCCAGGGCACACTCCTGATGCACAGGTGCTGTGTGCTGTCTGCCAGGACTCTCCAGAGCCCTTGCAGGAAAGCCAGCCACCTCCAGCATGTATTGGTGCACGGCCTCAGCATTCCCAGGTGGGAATGCTGACAGGAACTTTGCATTTGTTCTTGCTCAATTTCATAAGGTTCCTCTTGGCCCATTCCTCCAGCCTGTCTAGGTTCTTCTGTATGGTAGCACTGCCCACAGCATATTCACTGTTCCTTCCAATTTGGTATCATCTGCAAATCTGAGGAAAGTGGATTTTATGACCTCCTTGAAGCACCTGGTAAAGAAGCTAAACAGGACTGTTCCAGTCTCTAGATCCCTGTGGCACTCTACTAGGTAAACAGGAAAATGTTGTCTGGGTAGAGAACAACACATTTAACCATTCTCCTCTGAGCCAATTCAATGAATTTTTAGCTATACAAACCATAACATCCAACTGGGGAACAAGAATGTTGTTGGGGACAATGTCAAAAGCCTTGCTAAATTTGAGTTAGATGACAGCCACTTCTCTCCCCTCATCCACAAGCCCAGTCATAGAATCATAAATACAATCAGGAAGTCAGACATGATTTACATTTGGTAAATCCATGCTGATTGTTTCCAATCACCTTCTCCTTCGCATGCCCAGAAATGGATCTCCAAGAAGA